ACGCCAAGGCCAGTTCCAGGACTACACAGAGAAAACCTGTCTCAAAAAATAAATAAAATAAAATAAAATTGACCCCCTCTTTCCATTCTCATCTCTATAACCTGAAACATAATCATCAAATTGAGGTTCTGGGCATCTCTATATGTTTAGTTTACCAGTTGGTTCTGATGTGGAAGCCAAGGATTAATAGACAAGAGTATGTGTGTATGGGAGCGTGCAAATACCAGGAAACCTGTCTTTAGCCTTGTTCCTGGTTTGTGCCTAAGAACCCCCCCCCCCACACACACACAAAGATAAATCCAGCAACCATCATCCTGAAAAAGGGTGGACATTGAAGAGCTTGACTTAAATGAGTTTTGCAGGTGAAAGTGAAGCTTTACAGAGCCCTGTACTTCCCCAGTGACACCATAAACACTGTGGAAACAGCTAGCCTTCTGCTGTCTGTTCCATTCCATTCACCCTTCCTCTTTTCCTGCCCCTCTCACCTCCTTCTTAGAAACTAACAGGGTTATCATGTACACTGCAAAGAGCAGTGTGGGCAGTCAAGCACTCAAAGAGTTCAAGTTCTCTGTTCCCCTGAGTGCCTCCCAGCCTGTGCACTTGAGGTGCCGGGTGTGAACCTCCTGACAGCTGTGTGTACATATTTGGTGGCAGGGAACTGTGATGAAAATCACCAACTTGAGGATCATAAAAAGTGGTTTTTAAGGAAAGAGGTAAGACTAGGAATTTGGCTCAGTGGAAGGATGCTAAAGTCACTGGGTTTGGTCCCCAGTACTGGGTGGAATAAAAAAAAAAAAGAGATCACAAAAGGAGGTGATAAGGCTGTACTGTAGCTAGCTTCATACCCTCCACCCTCAAGAACCATTGAGCATACTTTTGGCAAGTGCAGTATAATCTAGATTGGCTCAGGAATGTATGCATAAGTGCATATTGAATCTTTTTTATTAGACCACCAGTTACATAGTCAGCAAGTGGACATAGTGGAAGTCATAGCTCTGGCAAAGAAATAGTAGGTATTGATAGAATAATCTGAAGGAAGAAATATGTGATGGGAAAAATGCTATCATGGAGAGAACCTAAAAATTAAGCCAGAAGCCCCACGTTTTCATTCTCATTTCTTACTATTGGCTCTCTTGTTTATCTCTGAGACTCAGTTGTATGAATGAAGAAGTGAGCAAGTCCAAGGCCTCTTTGTTCTGGCTTTGCCATTAAATACCTCCCACGTGTTGACTTAATATCAAATTTGTAAGCAAAAAGATATATTTAGGTCTTACCTGTGAATATTGTAAAAGATCACATGAATGGTCCCCCAGTTTATGTTTCCCATGATCCTTTGCACAATGTTTTGATACTTTTGCCAACCATCCCATCACCCACCCTATGTACAATTATCAGGGAGAGTTTCTCTAGTCTTTGAAGCTGCCTACAACATCCCAAGCAGATAATGTAGTTCTTTGTTCCCTTGTGTCCTTTCAAGAACAGTTTATTAACAATGACTCAGCATGAGAGTAAAAATTCCAGAAACAAAAGTGCTGTATTAACTGCAGAGGGAGTTTTGTCTTTTCTAGGACACACATGCACAATACTGGCATGTGCCTGTGGCATTGCTTTGCAACTAGGGTTTCCAGCAAACTGTCTTTGGAGGGTTTCTTTTCTTAGTGTTAGGGTGTGTCTGCCTCTTGCTATACCATGTCCTGGCTTAAACATGGAATGATGGCTTATATTCTCTACAGCCTATAGTTTTTTTGTATGTGAAGGACATTAGTTATAGGATAAGGCTTTGGAGAATCAGGATTTGTGTATGTTTTAGTACAAATCCTGAACAGAAAGCTCAATAACCAGTAACTTATTGCTAAATTTTAACATTTTAAGGGCTTGGGGGTACTTTTCAAAAAATAGCAGTTGTCATGATTGCTGGTGGAACTTTTACTCCCATTTCCCTTTTCTTAGCCACGTATATCTTATAAAATAATTAAAAAACAAAAGACTGGTGGAGGCTGTCTGTTGTGTCTTGCAAGTGTCCTGTTTGCATAGCACACTTTTAGCCATTCATTTTTTTTGAGCTAATTTATCTAGCCACTATGGTGCATTTAATTCTAGAGCATGAAAATTTCACTTTGGGGCCAGAGTGTGGACTCTTTATACTTGTTCACCAAATCATAGTTACAGCCAGGTTATTGACAAGGCCTACTTTAGCCACAGATTCTTCTTTCATGCTACAAACGCACATCTGTTTCCCCAGTAATTTTCATTATGAAGCTTATTCCTCCAAATTCTGATCATTTTTCCTTATGAAGATGATTCCAATTCAAATATATTGTGATGCTACAACAAGGATTTCAGTCTGTGGTGCATCAATCTGAGACCAAGTCCAAGGGAGTTGATTTATTCAAACAGCCATATAACCTCGACTAATAGCAGATTCAAGTCTAGCCATCCTGTAGAGGCTTGTGCCACGAGACAATAGTAAATACTCTATGGATAATAAATTAATCATATTCTGGCTGATGTCTGGTTCTTGTGTTTCACTGCAAGGTTTTTATGGATACAGAAAGGCAAATATCCTCTGGATTTTATTATATGTAGTCTGTGTTGCCACAGAGCATTTCAAATCTAAAAAGTCTGCACATTTAAAGCTGTTGCTGTTTTCTTACCAGCACTAAAGTGTATGAAAGGAAAAGATGGGGATCACTGCAAATATGAAGTTCCCTGTGCTCCACCATCATATGAGATTGTTTTTTGGTGAATCTTCTTAAAGTAACTTTTTCTCTAAAAATGTTACAATTTACAAAAATGCATGGTTAAAGAACTTTAAGTGTCACCTTGGAACCAGAAAGTTCAGCTGCCCAGCTCCTACTGCTAAAGGCCAGTGTGCATGCTTTGCACCTGGCTGAGCTTTGAGCTGCTATCAGGACAGTGTCCCCGATAATTGACAAACAGAAGATAAACTAGGAAACGGAGGCTGGTAAGGAAGATAGAATTTTCATTTATCATGTGGTACATTCTGCAGCAGTAAACATCACTATCTCCTAAATAAATCTTTGAAAGCAGGAAAAGCACTGTGTGAGAAAGCTTTATGAACGGAGACGGTCCTCCTGCTGTGTAGGTGACTGTGTCCTTTGGGTGAGCCTGCACGCCCTTTCTTTGTATTAAATAAAATGAGAGTGTAAGGACTGATGATCTGATTTGGTGAGCTGGTTACAGAAATGGCACTGGCATCTGTTACTTCCTCTCTGCGATCTGTTAATGGCAGAGCACTTGATTAACTGCTGAGATGTAGACATGAAGGGGATCCAAGGTGGGCTGTGAAGTGTATCACACAGCTAAATCTCTATTACATCTTCACTTCACCTGCTTCTCTATTTCCAGGTATCTGGCAGCTGGGGGAGGGGGCTCACTCAGGGGCAGGAAAGGCTTCATTTTTATTTCAAGAACAATTGTGTGTTTGTGCATGTGTCGATATGCACATTTTAATAGCCCATCAAAAATGCTGAAGAAAAAGGTAGTTTATCATTTTTCAGGACTAATTAAGAATAAATATCTCCTTTCCCATTATTGGATCAACTGAAAAGGGAAATGAAGGAAATTTTATTATTTCTAATATCAACACAACACATAGTTTATGCACAATGGTAGCAGAAAGAGGGACTGCCTTGTGTACATTCACAGCTAGAGTTGTAAGCAAAAACACCAGGTAAAAAGAAAGACTTCAGTCTTTTTTAGTAATCAGTAAGTAATAACATTCCTCTTAATGGTAAACATTTTCTGTAAACCAAGTACTAGAACACATTAATTTGAGATGCAGTCACGTATTTCATTTTGACCAGGCTCATCATTCCAGGTTATAAAAGAAGGCAAGCTTCCTTTGCATGGATTTTACTGAAGTAGATACTATTGCCGGAAGTAATTGGAGAAAGGGTCTAGTAGCTGAAAGGGTTGTAAGACTCCGAGGAGTAAGAATTGTTTAAGACCCACAGACTGAAGAGAGCCTGCAAATTAACACTTAATTGTTTTCATTTTCTGTTCAACACTTCTCTCTAAACTAAAAACATTACAGATTCTAAACTTGAGCTTCCAATGTGGCTCAGCGGGTAAAAGTGCTTGCTGGCTGGGTAAGCCTGATGAGTTCAATCTGTGAGACTCATGGCAGAAAGGGGAAACTTCCCAAAAGTTGTTCATCACAGCACCCACAGGCCTACACACACACACACACACACACACACACACACACACACACACCATTTTAAAAAACTTCCACACTTAGTATATGTAAACATTTATGGGGTGCAGTCAACTATGGAAAATCCAAAGCAGAAAGAAATGATGAAATGTTGATTATAAAACATAAGAACTAACTAACCAAGCACATCATGGAAGAAAAATGGAACCTGTGACTAAAAATAACCAGAAAAGACCCTAGGAAAATGATTGTTATTTAGTACTTGTACTTTCAAAAAGACTTAGCCTGGGCCCACACTAGACTTTGATTTTTGATGGGGTCCAGAAAGTTAAGGAACTCAAACAACAGCTAACAGAAAGACCCCAAACAAGACCAACCAACCAACAAATAAACCAAGAAATAAAAAACCTGGAGGCAGATGGCTAAGAATTAGATTTATTGGGCATCACAATCTACCAAAAGAACAAAGTCTGCCTTCCATTTCTCTTTGCTGATGGAGAGATGGTTTGCTGTGATCTAGCAACTAGGTCTACAAGGTAGTCACATCAGACTGTACAGTAGTAACTGATGGAGGTTAAGTCCCTTTCCAGCCCAAAGTCAAAACACTAAGTTCTGTGAGTGTTCCTGCCTCAGCAGGGATGCTGCTGCAGCAACTGTGGACTGTGTCTAGTAGCAAGAATGTGGTAGCCTATATTATACAGTGAGTACAGGGATACAAAGGCTGTTACAGTTTTAAGTATACAGAGTCAAATCTGAAATAAGTATAAAAATACAGAGGAAAACAAAAAGAGTAAAAAACAGATTAGAAAAAGTCTAATGACCTTTTCAGAAATAACTACATGTTCCACCCTATGATCTCATAAATCAAAGCTTTCAGCTGTCTGGACTCATACGTGACTGTATACTTCCCAGTGTGCATCCTCTCTTCCTCCAAGGGCTGTTCTATGACAGCAGGGATGTTTCTGCCAAAAATTTCACAGTGCTCTAGGAACTGGACACATTCTTCAATGACAGTGTCCCTCAGCATGATTGTATGCTTTGACATGTTTTCTAGCAAGGACAGGAAGCATCTTTTGGCATAATACCACGTGTCAGTTCCCAGCTTCTTATGGTAAGGCTCCAGGCTTTTGATAACCCGAGAGATGCCAAAGTCATAGTTTCCTTTGGCACAATAAAGTGTTCCTATCACCAGATTCACAATGCAAAGGTGGTAGATTTTCTTGTCTGGATCACCATACGAGAGTTGTTCTTCCTCCTTTTCAATCTTCCTCATCAGCTCCTCAGCTTCCTCGTTTTGACTTGTCATAATATAGGAGACACAGAGGTTGGCTAACACAATAGCGCTGACACTCAAGATGTTATCATAGTTCTTCTTGACGATGGGCTCATAGAAGCCAATGGCCTCCTTGTATTTGTTCTCCTGCATGAAGAGAACATGAGCCACATTCAGCTTCCACACGTCATGGTCATTACAGAATTCCACAGATTTTCGGAAGATCTTCTCCACCATGGGGTAGTTTTCAAGATTCCAGTAGATCTTGGCCTGGGCCATCAGCACAGGAATATACTTCTCAAGAGTTTCATCATACTCATTCACAGCCTTTATGACAACTTCATCGTCTCTGTTGTGTCTTGCTTCCTGAACTTGCTTAGTGAGTCTCCTGAGCTGCTCAGTCAGCATTCCTGCCAGACCATCAAGCTTTATGAAAGCCTCTTCAGGAGCTGTCTGGCAAGTGATCATGGCATCCAAGAAGTCATAGAGATAGGGTGTGAGGAACTTGTAAGTCAAGTGGGCATTTTCTGCCAGGACATCAGCTGCCAGATCAAAATACTCATATTTACAGTAGAGCAGTAACAGGTTGCCAAAGGTCTCTGGGGGAAAGGGGTTCTGCTGGAGCAGAAACTGGAGCTTTTCAAAGCCCTCTGTAGGCCTGGCATCCATGTTCATCAGAGCCTGGTTGTGCAGGGTCACAGGGTCCAACTCTTCCTCTGCCCTGGGTGGCATGTCAGTGAGGGCTTCCTGAGCTGCCTCATAGTTTCTCAGTTGGTACTCTATGGCTGCCTTGAGGTTGAAAGCTTCAACTAGAGCAGTCTGGTGAAGGACTACGGTGTTGCCCACACTGCGAACATCAATGCCTTCAGTGGTCATGCCCACACCTAGCTCTGGGTGCTGACGGATGCCACGCTCAATTATATTGGCGATATGCTTTAGAGCAGGAGCATAGTGCCTGTTGCTATAACAAGCTAACGCCAGGTTGTAAGATACATCAGGCTGGTAGCCAGATGCCTGCAAGGCTGCAAAGAACTTGGAACAGGCAGCTTCATAGTGTCCCTCCTTGTAGAGTAGACAACCCATGTTAACCAAACCATCTGGGTCATTCTCCCCTCCACTGTCTTCTCCAGCTTCCCCACTGAGCAACTGTTCCACCAGGCTCCTGGCTCCTGGCAGGTCGCCCTCACTGTACTTGATAGCAGCTTGGAGACGAAGGACCCGGCTATAGTAGGTGGGGTTGTCCAGAAGGAAGGCGACCCGCGTGGCCTCTGGATACAGGCAGGCCTTGTACAACGCCTGGGCCTGATACAGGCGGTACTGCTCGAGTTCAGGGTGCATCTGGCTCAGTTGCTCATAGCACTCTGCAGCGAGCTCGAACTCCTGCAGGCGGTAGTAGCAGTAGGCCAGCAGCGACAGCCCGGCGCGGCTCCGGGGACTCCTCTGCAGCTCGGCGCCCAGCAGCTGCACCGCCTCTGAGTAGCGGGAGTCGCGGATGAGCCGGTACACCACAGCCGTGAACTCACCGTCGGGGATCTGTGAGCCGCTCAGTCCCGCCATAACTGTCAAGACTGGTGGGTGCACTCGTTCCCAGGACAACAAGCTAACGGAAACGGAAGCCCGGAGAAGTTTCTTAACGTATCCCGGAAGTTGTTTTGCAACAGAAGGAAACCGCTGGTGTTGAAAAGACTGTGACTGTTTCTTGCACTTAACGCAAACAGAGAAGTTCTCGAACATAAGGCAGCATTTTAATATTCCTCTGTGTTTCTTTCAGATATGAAATCATCACATCTAGGGCGAACAGGTACAGGTCAAATGATACTGTAAAAGTGCAATAAATTAGGAAAAAAACCTTTAGTCTATTCTCTGACGCACTTGCTAGTATTTCTCTACCTGAAGACATCATTGTGTGTGTGTGTGTGAATGTGTATAGTATATGCCATGGCTCATATATAATATATATGTAACTCCTGTATACATAGGACTCATCCCTTCTTGAGGAAAAAAAAAAAGTACTTCATTATAGAAACAATCTTTACCTTTCAGTAGAAAGCTGTTGCATCATGAAGATTGTCAAAGCCTAACTTTTCTGATGTTCTTTAAGACAGACTGATGTTATTGAGAACAAAAGAGTAATAGGGCTGGGGAAAACAAGGATGAAGACTTTTTTGTTTATAGGAAATGGAATGCATGAGAACAATGAGTAGCAAACATCATGGGATTCCCTTGAGAGCTCACTGGGAAGACTATGGCCATGAAACTGGTAAAACAAGTAAAAAAAATAGTGCAGGATAGTTTCGATATGATTTAAAATTATATAAGTATAATTTCATATATCAATATTTACATACCATCAATTTCAGAAGAGACTTGGTAATAATAACAGAATGAAGTAAATTTCTCTTTCTCAAGATGGTATAAGGAAACCCAGCTTTGTCTTCTAATTTGCTTTATAAGTATAGGAATTAAATATTGACTTTTTAAAATATTTATTTATTATGTATACAGTGTTCTGTCTGCATGTATGCCTGCAGGCCAGAAGAGGGCACCAGATCTCGTCATGTGGTTGCTGGGAATTGAACTCAGGACCCCTGGAAGGGCCATCAGTGCTCTTAACCTCTGAGCCATGTCTCCAGCCCAAATATTGACTTTTAAAATAACTGGTATTATCAATCGTTGCTAAAGTTCAATCATGAACAGTAAAAATATCAGATATCTGGCAATTATTTTATTGTCTTCAAATCACAGAACTACACTTTTACTTAGGAAGAAAATTTCACCATGAATTGTGCACATTCTAAGAAAAACCACTAAGACCATGAAAACTTTTCTAAAACATTCTCTCTAAAGCAAAAACACACTCCCTAGAACTCCACAAAACAAACTTTAAAATCTAAAGTATGCAAAACTTCTACATTACAAATAGAGTAAACTGAAGTGGAACAAGTATTCCCCGATATTATTTCCAAAGTCCAAATGTACAATAAGTAACTAAGGTCCAGGGACGACACATGCTCTCCATGGATGTAAAGTTCTTCACAGACACAATAAAGTACAAAGTGCACCAAAAATGAAAGTATGCAGACATGATAAGCTCCATTAGATGGTACTTCCTCCATTCAGTTCTGAAAGTTGAAATACATGCTTCTGAACTCTTCATTTGGTGATGGTTTTCATCAGGAAAAGCTATATCCAATTGAATATGCATTTAAGGTAAACGATGTACAACATGTAAAAAGTGGGGAGATGCTAAAGCTTAGAGATAAAACACAATGCCAAGATAACAAAGATTTAAAAAAAATAAAAGTCATTAACAGGAATTACTACATATTCCACCCTATGATCTCATAAATCAAAGCTTTCAGCTGTCTGGACTCATAAGTGACTGTATTCTTCCCAGTGTGCATCCTCTCTTCCTCCAAGGGCTGTTCTATGACAGCAGGGATGTTTCTGCCAAAAAATTCACAGTGCTCTAGGAACTGGACACATTCTTCAATGACAGTGTCACAAAGCACAATCATGTGCTTTGACATGTTTTCTAGCAAGGACAGGAAGCATCGTTTGGCATAATACCACGTGTCAGTTCCCAGCTTCTTATGGTAAGGCTCCAGGCTTTTGATAACCCGAGAGATGCCAAAGTCATAGTTTCCTTTGGCACAATAAAGTGTTCCTATCACCAGATTCACAATGCAAAGGTGGTAGATTTTCTTGTCTGGATCACCATACGAGAGTTGTTCTTCCTCCTTTTCAATCTTCCTCATCAGCTCCTCAGCTTCCTCGTTTTGACTTGTCATAATATAGGAGACACAGAGGTTGGCTAACACAATAGCGCTGACACTCAAGATGTTATCATAGTTCTTCTTGACGATGGGCTCATAGAAGCCAATGGCCTCCTTGTATTTGTTCTCCTGCATGAAGAGAACATGAGCCACATTCAGCTTCCACACGTCATGGTCATTACAGAATTCCACAGATTTTCGGAAGATCTTCTCCACCATGGGGTAGTTTTCAAGATTCCAGTAGATCTTGGCCTGGGCCATCAGCACAGGAATATACTTCTCAAGAGTTTCATCATACTCATTCACAACCTTTTTAATAATTTCATCGTCTCTGCTGTATCTTGCTTCCTGAACTTGCTTAGTGAGTCTCCTGAGCTGCTCAGTCAGCATTCCTGCCAGACCATCAAGCTTTATGAAAGCCTCTTCAGGAGCTGTCTGGCAAGTGATCATGGCATCCAAGAAGTCATAGAGATAGGGTGTGAGGAACTTGTAAGTCAAGTGGGCATTTTCTGCCAGGACATCAGCTGCCAGATCAAAATACTCATATTTACAGTAGAGCAGTAACAGGTTGCCAAAGGTCTCTGGGGGAAAGGGGTTCTGCTGGAGCAGAAACTGGAGCTTTTCAAAGCCCTCTGTAGGCCTGGCATCCATGTTCATCAGAGCCTGGTTGTGCAGGGTCACAGGGTCCAACTCTTCCTCTGCCCTGGGTGGCATGTCAGTGAGGGTTTCTTGGGCTACCTCAAAGTTTCTCAGTTGGTATTCTATGGCTGCCTTGAGGTTGAAAGCTTCAACTAGAGCAGTCTGGTGAAGGACTGTGGTGTTGCCCACACTGCGAATATCAATGCCTTCAGTGGTCAAGCCCACACCTAGCTCTGGGTGCTGACGGATGCCATGCTCAATTATATCAGCGATATGCTTTAGAGCAGGGGCATACTGCCGACTGCTGTAATATGCCAAAGCCAGGTTGTAGGAAAGGTCAGGCTGGTAGCCAGAAGCCTGCAGGGCCGCTAAGAACTTGGAACAGGCAGCTTCATAGTGTCCCTCCTTGTAGAGAAGACAACCCAGGTTAACCATACTATCTGGGTCATTTTCCCTTTCACTGTCTTCTCCACACAATAGCTGTTCCACCAGGCTCCTGGCTCCTGGCAGGTCGCCCTCACTGTACTTGATAGCAGCTTGGAGACGAAGGACTCGCGTCTGATAGGTGGGGTTATCCACGAGAAAGGAGACCCGCGTGGCCTCTGGATACAGGCAGGCCTTGTACAGCGCCTGGGCCTGGTACAGGCGGTACTGCTCGAGTTCAGGGTGCATCTGGCTCAGTTGCTCATAGCACTCTGCAGCGAGCTCGAACTCCTGCAGGCGGTAGTAGCAGTAGGCCAGCAGCGACAGCCCGGCGCGGCTCCGGGGACTCCTCTGCAGCTCGGCGCCCGGGGGGGGGGGGGGGGGCGGATGAGCCGGTACACCACAGCCGTGAACTCACCGTCGGGGACTTTAGAGCTGCTTTGCCACGCCATAGCCGCCAAAAGTACCGCGTGCTAGTTTCCAAGGCAACTAGGTAACCGGAAAAGGAAGTTTATGGGGCGGGTGTCGCAGTGCGGTAGGATAATCCGTTAGGCTCACAAGTGAACCATAAACATAATCCTTGAATTTTCGTTATGTATTAAAGAGCTCAAACTGAGTAGAAACAGAAGTCAGCGAGGGAATAGCTTCCATCAATCCAGATATATAAATTCTTGTTTTCTCCTGCATGCACCATTGTTACTTCCCTATGGGCCGAAGCCGCTTTGCATTCTGGGAATTGTAGTCTCATTTCAAGACGTCATAACCCTGTGTACTTTTGGAGTGATCTGACTCCTTTATATGTATTTTTAGTTCGCTTGTGTATTCGAATAGGAAAACATATATAAAGTCATTTAGTCCTGTAATGAGAGGTTTATACTCCCCCTACTCGTTAAAATGGAGTGTTGCTTGCTGTCTAGGTAGGTGTTACTACCGCTCTGTGGAATGACGGGCCTGTGTAGGGTCTATACCTGAGTTGTTTTGTTGTTTTTGAGGCATATACACTGTTTTGTGGCAATGATTATTTTTTTGTCTTGCATACCATGAAATCCCCTAGAATTATGACTTTTTGCTGACCTAAGTGCATACTGCTTAGCAGAACCACACGGTGACCACGTATTTTGTACCAACTAGAAGATGATCTATAATGGTGCTTTTGGTTTTGAAAGTCAGTTTATTGAGAACTTAGCAAGTAAAGGAATAAATAGGATGTAGCACAGACATCGGATAGATAATTCAATATAATGAAATTGGGGCTTATAGATACTTAGTTGAAATCACCTAGGGAAGCCCATTGAGGAGGCTAGCTGGAATTCCCAGTGAGCATCCCACGCAGAGCAGAGTATCTTGTTGGGTAGCTATTCCAAGTAAAATAACAAGTACCATGGAGCAGATACATAAGAGCATCAAATCAGGCCTTTCCAAGTATCTCCCAGAAATGACTACAACAAACCTTTTGAAAGAGTCATACTTAAATGCCTGACCCAGAGTTCCGGGAAGAAGAACCTTCCATCACCCGCATTGAGCTTACATCTTGATTTCCAAGTTGGAGGCCGAGAGTCTGACGCTGGGATGGTGGGAATCTTGTGAAAACTCAAAGCCCATCTCCAGGGACATATCTGTTCTAACACTTTCCTAAACAGTTCCATCGACTGGTAACCAAGTATTTAAACACGTGAGCCTATGAAGGACATTTTTAGGTTCCATAGGAAGCAGCAGTGGCAAATACTTCAATACACCCGTTTCCGATCGTTTATAAAGGACTACCAATGCGTATGGGGAAAGATAACTTTTAAAAATAGAAACAACCAAATAAATTGGTGTGGGCAGTAGACCTCAGACTTCCATGCCTCAACTTCAGCTTCAGATGTACAATGACCAGTGGGGGCTGCACATCTCCTCGTTACCCAGTATCACCAGGAAAAGACTTGAGTAGGTGTACAATTGCTCATATCACAGAATGACTGGCTTCTTGAACTTTTTCATCCTTCACTCTTGCTGAGAATTAGCAGCTGTGTGACTTCTTGGATGCCATCAGACAAGGAACATTTAATGAAATCAACAAAAGGAAGGAACAAATTGTACCCATTTCATATGTCATGGAGTGGGTCTTTGGCACACCAAAGATCTCCACAGAAAGCAGCTAAGGAGTAGCTTCTGAATACCCACTCTGAGGTTTCTTTTACCCTGATTCCTAGTGTATCCTCTTAGGTGAAGACTGGGGTGGGATGGATGTGACCTCTGATGCTCTAATCTTAAGGAATACAATGTATCTTCTCCTTTACAACTGCTGGCCTGCCGGGCATTTGTTCTTTGGAAACTGATACTCAATATTTAAAAATCTTTATGCATAGACTGTTATCTTGGATAAGCTGGCATTAAATTGAGTAACCATGGAAATAAGAAATGACCTCCTATCCCATCTCTGTTTGCAAAGCTGCACTAACCCATTATGAAACCATCCACCTTCAGATGACTTTCTAAAACCCACAGAAAAAAATGAAACTACTGTCGGCTTTCCCCCAAATTTCTTGGCTACATACAGGGGTCATCTGGGTTTCTCCTCTCTGTGTTGGTGCCTGTCTGTGAGCATGGCAGCTGAAGTGCACAGGCAGGCGGACACTCTGTGTCTTCCTCCTTATTTCATGGGAAGCTGCTCCAGTGGCCTGGCTTGAAAAGAGCAGGGCATTTGGCCTAGACAGATGGAGGACAGGGTCATTTTCAAATGCAATGAGTACACCAATCCCACTGTGAAGTTGGCATGACCATAACCACTGCTGTGAGAGGCTGGCTTTTATTTGGTCTCTGATAGGCAGTTGGGGAATAGTTTCATTGTTTTTTTGGATGGGAGAGTGAAAGGAGGTCCTTTAGTTAATGATGGAAAACCTGGAAAGCAAAACTTTGTAGAAGATTATGAAGTATAAAAGATAATTTTTTTGTTTGTTTGTTTACAATAGGGTCTTGAAAAGCCAATGCTATCCTCAGCAAGAGGACATGTAGTGGCATTTATAAAGTGGGCTAGATATGAGTAGAAAGGAGTTAATGATTGGCAGACTAAGACATGATTACCAGGAAGAGCTCAATTTAGGCAAAAAATATATATGTATCAGAGCTAAAAGCAGGTTTAGGATTCTTCAGTTCTTCCAGCCAAAATACAAAATGATCAAATGTATGATGTATTGAATGTTCTCTTTTACAACTAGCTGGGAAGTACGTTTTCTTACCCAATGAACACAATCATTTGTGGATGGTACATTGTTAATACATGAGTGTTGCATGAACAAACATGTATAAGAATTTTTCTAGCTGGATGTTGGTGGTGCGCGCCTTTAATCCCAGCACTTGGGAGGCAGAGGCCAGCCTGGTCTCCAGAGCAAGTGCCAGGATAGGCTCCAAAGCTACACAGAGAAACCCTGTCTCAAAAAACAAAACAAAACAAAACAAAACAAAAAACCCAAAATTCCTTGGCAAAGGAAGTCCTTTGCAAAGTTACTGTTTTCTTTCCCCTGACCATTTTCTTCAGGATGGCCAGTTTAGGAGCTCAGCCCCATAGAATTCTAGTCTTCTCAACCCCATCTCCACTCTGAACAGGGAAGCAATGAATAAATTAGTGGCAGATTTGTAAGGTCGTTGACTGACTCTTAGGAGCCTGAGTTCAGTGCTTTGAAGCCTTGGGGCCACCTGTATGCTGAGTCAAGAAGGGCTCTTCATGCTTAGCTGAAGAGACACTTCATCTCACTAGGGCTCACCTTTCAGGGGAGTCTTCCTCAGTGTCTAAACAAGATCTCTCTCTTGAATGGACTTTGATTTTGATCAAGTAGCTTGTATTTTAAGGTTTACAGTGTGACTAAATTAACCTATCTCAATTGTGCAGTAGTGCTGTGGTTTACAGAAGGGATTAGTGGAGAAGGCAAAATTGTTGATACTAACTTCTAAAACAATCGACCAGACTTTCTTTTTTTTAAAATATATTTATTTCTGTTCTATGTACATTGGTGTTTTGCCTGTAGAATGTCTGTATGAGGGCATCGGATCTTTTGGAACAGAAGTTACAGACAGTTGTAAGCTGCCACATGGGTCCTCTGGAAGAGCAGTCAGTGCTCTTAACCACGGGGCCATCTCTCCAGTCTCTAGACCAGACTTTCTAAGGGCTACTCTAAGCCCCAACGCTTATGCAGTACTTTCATCACCAAGCTCACTTTGCCTAACTTTCTTCATTAGTTCCCACAGACCTTCTGTGGCTTAGAGATTTCTTATTTCCAGCTCAGGTAGAACTGCAGGCTGCAATACACAAAGAGGCCAGTGGATGCAGCAGGTAGCTCTGGTGATTGCTTACACTGTCCAGTAGAGGGCCACACTGCACCTCTTCCCGCTCTTCCTGGGTGTCTTCTCCCCGGCCGTTTGAATTGGCTTAGGATTGTTTGTTGCAGTTCGTTGTAACAGAACAGGCACGGTGATGTAAGAATTTTAAAGTTTAAGCACCGAAGCCATTTTATAATTGTATCACATCACTGTGGCTGTCAGCACCCCCGGTTCCCCGTGTAACTGCCCATGCAAATTTAAGCAACGCGTAATGGACACAGAGATCCAGCTTGTGGCAGTAGAAATCTCCTACTTCCAGAAGACCTTCGATAATTCGAGAAATAGTTCATTTTAAAAATGAGGTCCCAGTATCCCTCTCCACAAACAGACAACACTGACCAAAGTTAATGAATTAAATTGTGACGATTAAATTGTAGGAATTAGAATGCATGCATCCTCAACACAAAGATTATTACAGAACGTTAGTTAAACATTAAGCATTTTATTAAAAACAAGAAGTTTTTGTTTTCTTAAAGCAGTCTGTTTCAAAGCCGTGGGTAGTTGCTTCTGAAACGGCCAAGCAGCGTTTAACCAAGTGTTAAATGCAGTATTAACCTGGAAACTACACAAAGAGAGGGGCTTCACACAAGCCAGCTGACAACGTATTTCCTTTCTTTTGTGTAAAACAACAATAATTAGGAAACAAGTCAGTAGGGGACCCTCTTTTAGATTAGTGTAAATCAAAATAAAATGGCAAAAGCAATGGCCCTCCAAAGGAATGGGACTCAATAAACTAGACTTCTATCTCCACACTGTGCTATGCTTTAAAGTTGCTCTAAGTATGATTTCATCTAAACCTGCATGAAAGCAAAAGAAAAATGAGCACTCTAACACACATGTATACAGAAATGAACACAGACAAATGATAGTCTCAAAGAAGATACTTTTCTTTTTCGCAGCAAGTAGTTCACTTACTTAATAAAACAAACATTTCTGCACCAGTGTATACATTCAATAACATTGGTTGTTATAGATTGATACATAGATGAACATTTGCCTTTAGTGCTGCTGAGAGATGCATAAACATGCAAAGACATTCAAAATCAAAGTATGTACAACCTAAAATCACTAGCTGGGGCAAAGGGGGGTGACACAGACAATGTGTCACTTGCTGCACTTGAGAGGAATTGTTCCTATTACTGGAGGTTACAATTGTATTTTTTTTTTTTTTTTGGTCTTTCTGTAACTCACAAGCTTCAGTGGGAGAAATGGGTTTAAAAACAATTGTATTGCAAAGTAAATTGAGTAAAGCCAGTCTAATGACTTAAGTTACTAAAGTATGCTAAATTTTGATATGCAGAAAAGGCAACTGAATTCCAGAAACATACTACTGTTACTGCACGAATAAAAAAAATGCTAAGATCATTTTAATTCCAAGATATTTACAAACCTAAAGTACCTGAAAGCAGGTAGACCTCCAGGTTTCAGAAACAGAAAAGTCATGTGCAATTTTTACTTTTCTTGGCTTGTTTTTATAAATTCACTTCTGAACTAATGATTCCCATATGGGATTCGACGATATGAGATAATCTGAAGCTGTTCTTTTCGACATCAGAGAATACACACAAGCAGGTGTTGATGACAGCATCTTTCACATTCATTAGAAGCTGGCTCAGACACTTTGTGGGAAGGTTGTTTTGTGTCTGCTCTCTCTATATGTAAATGTTTACTCTGTCTTCAGGATGAAGACGACTCTCTCATAAGGTTTGCTTATGTTTTATTTGAGAAGCAGAAAGAAGAAAATTATCTAGATGAAGTTCCAAAAGCAAAGCATAGCTTGGTCCTTTGATGCAGAAACGGAAGGAAAGTTGGGGCTTTTTATTTAACAGATAGAAACCTGAAGCCTTCAGAGTCCCAAGATGGTAGGTCCATTGCCGAGGATGGAGTCCTGGTCTCCTGTGTACTTGGTGGTCTGCCAAGCTGCACTCACTCACCAGCATCACCAGCTGTGTTGTAGGTTGTGCACATATTATATACTCACTAATATGAATAGATACAATTTCTGAAAAAATACATCTCATACAAAAGTAAGATGGTGTCATCTCTGCTGATCATGCCAAGAGACCCGAGGAAGCAGACAATCTTATCGGCTTGAGTGTTTTTCTTTTATCCCTTTGTAGAGGGCTCACACTTCCTGCCTTTCTCCAGCAGGAAACAACAATGAAAAATAAGGATTGGGAAGTTTCTCATTCTGTGCTTTGGAAAGCTAGACTAGGATTGGATTGCACATAACTCACATTCATGAGAAAGAACTTGTTTTACAAGGGCTTTAAATATACCTTCATGTCCCAGAATTCTAACCTCTGACCTTTAGGGTTTGGCATCAGGAGGGCTACCACAATCTCTCCCACTTCTCCATAGTCATGGAGGAACAGACCCAGGGCATTAGTCAGCAGTTTCTGAATCTTGACCCACAATAGGAAAGATACCTTGAGACAGGAGAAATAGATGGAGGCAATTACAAACAGCTATTTGATGGATGGTTGACATTGTCAGGGCTCCCCTGTCTGGCAGATTGCAATGGTGTTGAACTCCCTTTGCTACCAATAGATGTTGCTATTGGCAACCATGCAGTGAAGCCAATAAAAAGGCAAGAAGATGAGAGGAAAACTCAACCTTAGTGGAAGCCGTAGGGTCTGTGCTATAAATTATGTCCCCCCTTAGCACTGTGTAGCATCAACATTCAGGGCAAAGGGGAGCTGCTGTCTCATTGCTGCCTGCAGTCTCTGGAAGACACTGGGTCCAGTTTTGTCATAAAGCACACACTTGAAAATTTTTGCTTTACATGGACTGGCATCGTTTTTCTTGTTATTTATTTATTGTTAGGAAGGGTAACAGATGTGGGCTCACTGCAGCCTCATATGGACGGATTCTCATCTGGGACATAAACAAGATGTGGTGAGGCAGGGACACCTGCAGTGCTTCCGAGCTGCAGACACACAATGATTTTGCAGACCGGGGTCTGTTCCTAACCCCACCCATCCTTTGTTCCTCACCTGAAGGAAGGAGACAGCTCTGCAGAAGCTATTTTCCTTTATAGCAGAGTGATTCAGAAAACTGGCTTAATAAAATCCATAAATCTGCAAGCCTCCTCTTACCTGCTCTGCAGAGGCAATTTTTTTTTTTCTGTACTCACACCCCCCTTCTCCAAGTCTCTGCAGCCTTCCCTGCAGACACAGCTGTAAAGGGCAGCTAGCAACGTTATTTCTTAGTGCACTCACCCCTTCCTTCTCTCCGTTGTCAAGCTTCTTTCTCCCCTGTAATTGTGTCTCCTTCCTGTTCAGTTGATGGCATGATTCTGCACCCTCATTTTTTGGGGTACTGTAATTGCCTTTTTTTCTTTGTTTGGATTGATTTTCACCTCTCCTTAGCCATTGTCTTAACCATCTGCCTTAGCCCCTATCTTCTTCTAGCCTAACCCTTCCCCTAGTTTATAATTTTTTTTTTTAGGTCTCTTGCCATAACAAAGCTGCCTTCCTCATGTTGATTGCCAGCCCACCCCACTCCTGTTTTGGTACCTTCATTTTATCCCCCCATCTTCAAATACCATTCCTTTTGGATTTGAGTAAAGCAAATAACCGATACTGATCAGTAAAAGTAAGAAAAGCTGTTTTGTAAGTGTTATTGTTCAGAGCTGGGCTGACATTCATGTTTCACATCTCCCAGGGATTTTCATAGTTCTCAGAGGCTCTCTTGGGGTACCATGTATGTGAACAAAGAGATGACCATTTGTGTGGGCTCTGGACCCTCTAAGACCTGTGGGTTCTAGACTCCCAAGACGTGCTTCAAACAGAAGATCTCAGCTTTCATCTATCTTGTGTCCTGGGGAGTCCTTGAAAGTTTGTTTAGACAGAGGATTTTAACGCTAAGGTTTCTGCAAATAAGTTCCTAGTGTAATCCACTTGACAATTTGGGAAGCAGAGAAATGTAGTGACCTGTCCAAAGTCACTCAGCTAATGATGTAACGGGAAGGACAGCAAGCCCAGTGTTTTTTGGTTAAGATGAACCCTGTCCATAGTGTCTCAGGTGAAATCAGCATCAAAGCACCTTCCTAGTCACATCTATTTAAAACAGTTTTTTTACCTGTAGACCTGACTTCCTATAGGATATATGTTGTATAGATGTTATCTCCTGGTCTTTCTAGAATATTCTTTTTTTTCACTTAAGGAAAAAAGTAAAATTGAGGTACCTTAAATGTTATCCCCAACCTTTTTCACCCCAAGCTAATTCGTGCTCGGTCTCAGGGCTCCTCTGCACCCGTGAAATCCGCCCCTCTCTGTTGGAAGCAGTTCCGGTGTTCACACGCTACTTGTGGTGCATGTGACTGTAGATTCCACTTCATCTTTGCTTTCATAAAATTATTAATCCATTCCTCCCAGGAAAAGGCCTGGTCTACAATGAAGGCGGAATTAAAAAAAAACTGAAGAAGTCAACTGTGATCTCACTGCAGAGTTACAGATCCCGTGTAACACCAATTAGACAAACACACTCCTATTAGGGACCCTTTGGGAAGATTGGGGTTAGCTGGTGCTCATAAGGAGGGGAGGCTCATCTAACAGGTAAATGAGACCAAGGGTCTGGTGCATCACTAAGAAACAGTCGGATTAGAAATAAAACACCTAAGATGCAAATCAGGAGAGTCTGGTGCAAAGGCCTGCTCCAGGGGAGGCTGGCTGCAAAACAGGGAAGTGCTTCTAACAGAAAAGTGCAATACATGAAGCAGCGTTAGTGACACTTTTGCCTCGGTGTCCTCAACTCAGAACAAGTGAGGCTATCAGCCCTCAGGCATCCAAATCCATCCGTGTGTGTTCACCACGGAAAGTCGAGGGTCAAGTTCTCTGCCCGACTCTGTCCTTCACCCTTCCATTGCTCTGCTGCCAAGCACACTTTCGGGTGTGCTTCCTGGCCCCGTCTACACTTTAGGACTATCTGAGCTGAAAGAAAAGGTTGATGCGGTTGCTGAAACCGATCCTTCAGGCTGCAGAGGACCCTCCAGGTCACAGGGTGGCACGAGGCTCTGGGTGATTTACAATCTGTCTCCGCCTGCTGCCATGAGACTCGAGGGGGTCGGGGTCGGGGAGGCAGCAGAGACCTGCAGTCTTTTGTGATGTAACTCCTCCCACTTCCTTCGGTTGGCAGCCACTAAATCTAGCATGGGCTTCAGTTTGGCGTTGACCTTCACCAAGGCCTAGAACAAAGGAGAAAAAGGTGTAGAGAGAGGAACCCAGGTCATGAATATGTATACCCTTCCTCCTTCTGTTTATGAGGGGACTGGAACAGTTATATGAAAGGAAACGGTTACTTTGGTAAACACAAACTATTTCTGAGAAGCAGGCATGCGTCCAACACTATTAGGTTCTGTTCATAAAGCCTGTGCTGAGATTGAAATAAACAAGATGGCCGAAAGGCAGCCTTGTGGACTCCGTCCGAGTTTACAAGTGCATCAAACAAAACAGAAGACAAAAAATGCAGCTCGCCTTCATCTGTTAATAACCATGTTTTTGCCTGCCAGAGAGAGTTTTGCCTATCAGTAGACTGTGAACTTAAGTTTTTAAAAAATAACCTTGGGATGGCATCTGCCACAGACGCCTGAAGAACTTTCCCACATAAGAAAGACCAGGGAAATTTCCAAAACAAGAGGAGAGACTGATTTTCCAAAGCAAAAGGGGTGGTGGCCATGCTGAACATACAGATTAGCATGGAGTGACTGTCTGGAGCTACCACTCAGAACAAGGATTTTGACCAGGCTAAGCTGCTGTCTCAGGCAATGTCTGGGTCTGTGGCTCAGCTGCAGCTGGGGTCTGCCTTGAACTCTGTGTCACAGGTTACCACTAGGGCCCACACTGAGGTCGGGGATCTGGGCTGGAGCCTGAAGCTTGGGTGGAGTCTGAAGGCCATGCCACAGCAAAACAATACCAATACGGGTGACCTGTGCTACCACCTGGGGTCAGGGTGTCATCCAGGCCCAGGCTGCCACCGAGAGCCATGTTTAGGTCCATGGCTCTGTACGAGACAGGGTCCTGATTGACATAGGTTGCCACCTAGAGCCATGAAGAAGTCCGGGTCAAACCAGCCACCTGAGTCTGGGTTGGTGTTCAAGAACCAGGATGCATCCATATCTGAGTGGCCTGCGATGCTACTCAATGACAAAGTGGTGTCTAGGCCTGAGCTGCAGCTGAGGGCCATGGCAGGGTCCATGGACGAACTGCAGCCAGGGTCTGTGCTGATATCCGATGCTCCTGCTACTATCAAAGGTGGCACAGACACCCAAGATCAAGGGCCAAGTTAGTGTCTCAGGGCCATACTGCTGTTGGGGGCAGTGGTGATGTCCAGACCATTCCTTCCATCCAGAGCCAGGATGTCATCCGGGCCTAAGCTGCTGCCAAGGGCCATGGTCCAGCCATAGCCTGGGTCTGTGTTGATGTCTGTGGCTAGTGTCACCTTAGGAGGCTTTAGGAATCACTCCAGAGGGCTATATTGAACCAGTCCTGCCCTTCACTGCCATGGGAAAGCTGGCCTTGCTTCTCGCTGCCCACTACAGCAAGACAGTTGGCCCCTGCACTTGGGAGAGAGGGCTCTTATCCCTCACCACAGGTGAGGTGAGGATGAACCGAGCCTGAGGGCATGCATGTTGGGGAGCTCACTCCACCACCCTGCATGGGTGGCCTTAGTGTCTCCATCTGTCCTGCCTGGCTAACAGTCAGGTCCAAAACTGGGTCTTGGATTGACCCACCGTAGCACCTGCCCCATCTAGGTCCTGCTGGAGTTCATGAAGGGACTGGTCCTGAGGAATGATACCCGCAAGATCTCCAAGACACAGGATACCCCAGAAGAGTTCCAGTGAAGATCCAGTGAGGACAGTGTACCAAAAACCCGAGGCCTTGAACCAGAACAATGGCTCATTGCAATGAACATTTGCCATTCAAGCTGATGGGTCAAAGGAGTATACTATATGGCACACTGAATCCTCCATTGCCCCTAGGATGGATGAAGAGGTGATGGAGAGGCAGGAGAGAAGGAGAAGCAGAGATTTTTCTGTTTTTGGTGTGGTTTTTGTCCTGTTTTGGTTTATTGGGTATTTTTTGTTGTTGTTGTTGCTTTTGTTTGTTTGCTTGCTTACTTTGTTTTGTTTTCTTTCATGGGGGGATGCAACAGGGATGAGAGGGAATATGGGGGGGACCTGGAGGTGAACAGAATTTCGGTGTATGATGTGAAACCCCCAAGATTCAATAAAGAAGTTTAGGGGAAAAAAAAACATGCAATGACATAGTCCTGAACGATACAAAAGGGCAGCAGTGGCCTAGTGTTCTTCTGGGTGTGGGGGGAGGAGCCTTCTGACAAGACACTGCATCTCTCTCAGAGTCCTGCCCTTCCTTGTATCTGGTCCACTTGTCTGCAAGCCCTCTTATTTTCCTTTCTCAGCGTTCCTAACTTCGTCTTTTTTGAGCCTTATATTCCTTTTGAAGCAAACACATATGGAAACAGATACGATGTGAAGGGAAAGGGGTTGGGAAGAGTAGTGGGGAGGTATGGGGGAGACGAGGAGAGAGGAAATGAGAGCCATGATCAGGCAGGGCAGATGGATCACCAGCCTCGTGAAACTGATGCTTCAGGGTCCTAAATTGCCCAAGAGCCATAGGTCCTTCTAAATACACCCTTTTGCATTTAATCCATCCTTTTTAAGAGAAGAGGTTCCTACTTCCAAGTGGTGTGACTGGCTTCTGACCTTAGAAGCCCTGGATGGTCCCCAGCAGTGGAATGAGAATCCTGGCAGTATGCTGTCTCTTTCGAATTGGATGCTCATGGGCCTTCCATGAGTAGTTTTTGAATCAGTCTACCCAGAGATGGGGCACTATAGGGTGGGTCAAATACATTGCCTGTGAAGTGGGGTTAGAACAGGTTCAGAGAGCTAAATATCAGTAGAGAACCATCTTACAGGCCAGAGGGGCATAGAGAACAAACACCCTACCCAACAGGGAAAGCCTTGTTATACTCTGTTCCATTGGGAAGTTTTTAAACTTAGACTGTAAAACTAAAAGTTTAGGGTTCTCTTTCTCGCTGTTAAATGCTTTTTGTTAATTTATTTACCTGTAGTGTTAGGGATCAAACCCAAGGCCTTGTACATGCTGGGCAAGTACTCTACCTCTGAGCTACGACCTCAGTCCTAAATATTTTTGTCTCCCATCCCTGTATTTAAATAAGTCTTACTGCTTATCATGAAAGATTCCCACATATTCAACCAGTAAGATATGATTAGCAAAAACATCTGTATCTGCATGTGAATAAATATAAATAATAAATATCAGTAAAACCATTCATATAGAGCATACATAGCAAAGGGTCTAGGGACCCTCTTATATTTTAAACAATTCAATTTTTAAAAAAAGGAAATAAAGGGCTAAGGTTGTCATCCAGTGGTAGAATCTTTGTCTGTGGAAAACCCTGCATTCAAGCTCCAGCAGTAGAAAAAGGGATTTGGGTAATAGTCCATCTTCTTTGTTGTTGTTGCTTTTTTTTTGGCAGTGTCTTACCATGCCTTGGCTAGCCCAGAACTTGGTTGGACTCAAACTCAGAGCCATTTTATAGTTTACAGTTCATCATCAAGGGAAGCCAAGACAGGAACTGAACTAGAGACCAAGGGGGGAGTGTTGCTAACTGGCTTGATCCTCTTGGCTTGTTCAGCTATTTTTCATATATAAGCCAGGCCCACCCTCACAGGGATGGCAACATTTACGGACATGCCCACAGGTGAATCTGATGGGAGGGGCAGTTCTGTTGCGGTTTCCTCTTTCCAGGCTGTGTCAGGTTGACAACTAAGGTTAGCCGTAGCCATGTTTCCCTATACAACACTAAGAGAATGAGCCTGGGGATGCAGAAGTACTTGTCTTTAGAAAGATGATGCTTCTAACTGAGCCCTACTTCTTAGACCAGGGATTAAAACCGTGGTCCCATGGAGACTCTTTGTAGGTGGGTCCCACTCATCACAAAGTTGAACCAAGACTAAAACCACCGTAGTTTCTGCACATCTTCCAGAAGGCATTCCATAGGTGTGCCCTGTGGTTAAGGAGTGGTCTGCAGCAAAGTCCCCATTCAAAGAACAGTGTGTCCTACAGATGTCAAAATGTCTTTCCCTAAGCACATCTCAAACGACCTGTCAGTAAATCTGACCTATCCCCCAAACATATCTAAAAGAACAGTGAGACTCCTGCTGGTTGAGGTACCTCTTCTCTTCACATGGGTGTTCTGTAATAGTTATTCTCACCCATCCCCACCCCACCGTGTGTGTGTGTGTGTGTGTGTGTGTGTGTGTGTGTGTGTGTGGTGTTCTTTCTGGTTATCTTTGTCACACAAACTAGAAACATCTCATTTAAAATCTGATGTACCATTTATTTCACATGCGAGTAAAGCAAAGCAACATAATAACCCAGTGATTAAAAATTCCCTTTATTTCCACTAGAAAAATGCAGATGCCCAAACTCTGCTCAACACTCAGTGTTTGCTCATCTGTTTATTTATTTATTTTTGACAATAGTGAGAGGCAGCAATGACTGCCATGCTCTTATTTAGTGTGCCTTGGCACAGGCTCCTCTTTACTTTGATCAAGCCTTTTAATTAAACTGACTACTGTAATTCCTATGGAAATTAGTGTATATGCTATTTTCCTGCTACAAAAGCATTTCTCTAGAACTTGTTTTTTTTTTTAATCCCAGAAGCAGGAATTGGAATTTTTTTCTGCTTGAAATGTAATTAAAAACTCATTTGATCACACTATTTCTGGCTCTGTTTTACTTATTAAATTCCTGTAATCAGTTTTCTTTTATGGAGCTGCTGGGAAATGATCTCCAAAGTGATGCATTTTTCTCTTCTCTGGCAGGTTCCCGAGCATTTACTAAATTACATCCCTAGCACCTGCCCATGATTCGAATTACTCCACCAATTTATTCTTTAAAGCACTTAAGTTTGTTTGGCTTAGCCCCAAACAGCTTTCCCTCCTAGATTTTCTTCTTTCTTCTTCCTCTGCTTCCTTTGTGTGAAATAAAACACTGGGGTGGGGGAGACATACCTCTTTCTCAGAATTCTCTCTTTCTTTGTTTTCTCCTGAGATAGGGTTACCACAGGGAGAATCTCTTCCCTTAGGACAAGTGTTGACTCTGGACAAAATTAGCCAAGTTCCAGTCTGGAGGAATT